TAGAAGAGAAACCAAAAATTGCTGAGACTTAAGGGTAAACTTTGCTCAGATCGCCTGGTGGCATTAAAACTGTGACCTATATGACTCGGAATAATAGGGAATCTACTAGTACGTTCCATTATTAAACTGCACCGGAAAGATCACATGAGAGTTGAATACGTGAAAGTACTTAATTCTTTCATCAACTGAGAGCTCGGGATAGTGTGGCTTGACGAGGCACTGCCGGTTAATAAACACCTTTTAAATCATATGTCTGTCATGCAATTTCTGATTAACTGCCTGTAATTTGCACACTTCTCGATTTCTATATAAATTGACTATGTACTTGTTGATGTTGGTTAAATAATAACGTCCGTATTCACTGTTCTTCCATGAGTCATTTGCTCTTCACGTACACATGTTTTAAATACTCATCCCTATTCGATCTTGTGTCTTCGCGTTGCATTACTGTGACCAGTTGATAGAATGGGGATGTATGTATTCCCTTAGGACCATGTAGTTGTCTCCACTTAATTTGAGTGAACAACGGGCGCTAAATGTCCCAAAGGATTACTATTGTAACGAAGACTGAAATGCATACAAGTCTTCCGATAATTTAGCTAGTTTGACGCTCTTAAGAATATCAAAGATGGTTGTACTTCATTTATTTTTTGGAATTCTGCACCTTGTTACTGACATCGTCAAAAATTCTATAATAAAACGAAGATATCGTGTATTCACTGGTATTCAACAAGTCAAAAAAATGTCACCAATTTTCTAAACTTTTAAGGGTTAGAACTAGACTTAGCAGTGAAAATCAGTGGTTAAATCACACTGATGAGCACATTCTACTATAGTTTATAAAGAGCCTGATATCAAATGTTTTATAAAGCCTCATAGACACTATGGGATAGTCCTGTGGTCTGTTAAGTATTCATATGAGTGAAGATGGAAGGGTAATGTCCTTGCTTCTGAGGTTCTCGTTTTATTTATCAGGTTAGGATTCAATGAATGACAATTCAAAATGCCATAGCCAGCCAGATAGAATCACATGTAAGATCAACCAAATAGAGTAATCCCAGCAAAAATATAAAAAGTAAATTTCACTACGTATGTTGAACTGTTTTCGAATTTTCCTTAGCATCTCTTACGAGGTGCCGACCATCAATATTTTAACTTAGTTGTAACTGGACTAGTGTTCGAGACAGCGAAGCCAATATAACACTAAAAGATTTGTGTAGTAAGGACAGAAGGCCTGCGGCCTGTTATTCCTTTTCTAGTATGCTTCTGTGAGTGTACAGTCTTCTCTTGAAAGAGTCAATTGAAGGTGCGGACACCACTGCTTCAGGCAGCAGGTTCCAAGTATTGATGACTCGGTGTGAAAACCTGTATGCCACGGGTATTTTGTTCGTTCTTGGCTTTTCTACTCGCCTGCTATGTCCTCTGAGGTGTCCCGATCTAGTGGGAAGAAAGAGAGAGAATAAGTTAGGTCCGAAATCATTTCTCAGTATTCTGTACATCAAAATTAGATCTCCCCTTAGTCTGCGATAGGACAGAGTAAAGAGGTCCAGTTTTTCAAGCCGCTCTTTGTATGATAAACCCCGGAGTTCCGGAATTGCACGCGTAGCTGCCCTCTGTACTTTTCTAGTATGTCTGAGTCACCTTTTAAACAGGGGCTTGCAGCCTGAACACAGTTCTCTAGCTTAGTTCTCACTAAGGATGTGTATAATGTGGTGAACATGGTAGTATCAACTTAGTGAATGTCCTTTTTAAAGCCCAGAGGGTTCGAAACCCCTTAACTGCGACCTCCCGGCAATGGGCCGTCGTCTTAAGATCATTGCTCACTGTCACCCCTAGGTCCTTATGAGACCGGACTACGGGTAATGACACATCCCCTATGTTGTACGTATTAACCTTTGAATCCCCCAAGTGCATGTAGACACACTTTTCCGAGTTGATAGGCATTAGCCACTCTTTAGACCAGTTTATCATATTATTTAAGTCCGCCTGAAGAGTAAATGCGTCTTTGTCTCCAGTTATTACTCGCCAAATTTTTACATCGTCAGCGTATAATAACATTGGAGACTGTACTATACTTGTAAGATCATTAACGTACATTATAAAAAGTAAAGGACCTAAGACGGAACCTTGGGGTACTCCACTAAGTACTGGTCTCCAGATGGAGCACTTGGAATTTATTCTTACTTTTTGCCTACGACCTACTAGGAAATCCTTAATCCATTTTAAAAGAGGTCCGGCAATACCAAGGTTTGCCAACTTCAATAGCAGTCTATTAGTTGGCACCTTGTCAAAAGCCTTACTGAAGTCTATGTAGACAACATCCACTGAGTTTCCGTTGTCTAGCGCATTAATCCAGAGCTCCCTAGCTATAAGGAGGTTCGTTGTACAGGATAGACCCTTTCTAAAACCATGTTGTGCCATGTTCAGCAAGTTATTGGTTTCCATAAATGCCGTTATGGTCCGTTTGATTATTCTTTCCAGTATTTTAATTACCACACTGGTGATGGAACTTGTCGTGGACCTGTTTTATGTATGGGAGTGACGATTGCGTCCTTCCAGTCCATAGGTAACACACCTTGGTCAAGTGACATTTTGAATATCACAGTCAGTGGGGCTGCGATATATTGGGCAATATGTCTCAAGATTTTAGGGTGTAGTTCATCTGGTCCTGTTGACTTCTCCATGTTTAGGGTGCTAAGAGCCTTAAGCACATCGTTTTGGTCGAAGTCCACGGTGAGCAGCTGGTTTGTTGACTCTGTAATTGGGTCTGGTTCTTTCTCTAGAGGAGGTTCCTGAGTGAAAACTGCCCCAAAGTAGTCAGCCATAGCTTCTGCTTTTTCCTGATCTTCCTCTATCATTTCAGATTCACTTCCTACTTTAATTAGGTTGGGAATCCTTGTTTAGTTTATGTACGAGAATATCCTCTTGGGCTGCTTGAGTGCAGATTGTGCCAGCTGCATTTCATATTTTCTTTGCGCTTCCCGAATTTTAGTTATACACTCGTTTCTTATCGATCTGTAGCGTTCCATCGTACCTGCTGTGCCAAGGCGGATGGCAACATCCCAGCATTTCTTCTTTTGTCTTAGTAAGCGTCGAATATCCCGCCCTATCCAGGGATGTCCGTGCTTCTTTTTCTTTGGGACAGTCCAGGGTATGTATGGTTGAGTTACCCGATTGTATAACTGCCTGAATAGAGTCCATGCCTCTTGTACTGATGCCTTTGAGTCAATTTCCCAGTTCTCAGCCGATGCTGCGGAGTTAATTGCCTGCATATCTGCCTTCCATATGTTAGGACGGGCCGGCGCAACTGTTTGACAAGCAATCTCAGCCATGAATTTGAATAAGATGACTGCATGGTCACTTCTCCCAAGTGGTGGGAGAAAAGCCATTTGACCAACGTCATCACCGTGTGTGAAGACTAAATCTAAAAGAGAAGAGTTTCTTAAGTCGTATCTTGTGGGATCTCTAATGTGTTGGAATAATGCTAGTCCAATCGAGGTTTCTAACAGTTTGGAGTCGAACGACGATATGGATGACCCTACTTCTAAGTTAACCCAGTTTATATATGGTGCATTAAAGTCGCCTACTACAAGGCTTTTACCGTTGTTACACCAGGACTTAAGTTTACTAAGGAGAAAATCATCTGCTACACATTCTGGACTGCGATAAACTACAACTACTTCAATATCTTGCCTTCGGCATTTCAACTTACATCTCACCAGTTCACATGTCCCTGAAACATGTGCTACTGTCTCAGCTAATCTTATGGTTAGGGTACTTTTCGTGTACAGAATAACCCCGCCTCCCCTTCGGTTTAATCTATCAGCCCTACTGGTTATGAAACCAGTCAATTGGATTTCACTATCTAATACTTCTGACGTTAACCAAGTTTCCGAGACAGCGATAACGTCCGGTTTTTCTTTATCCACCACTGACTTCAGCTCCGCCATTTTATTTAGTAGGCTGCGAGCATTTGTGTAGCACACTTTTAAGTCTGTGGAGAGCTTTCCCTTGCCACCCAGAGTGGCTTGGGGATCGTTTTGCTCCGAACTTTTACAATCTGAAAACCCTTAAGAACGAGGTTTCTTTCACCGTTTCGGCGACGCTCGTTTATTTCCGCTTCTGCAGCTCTTCTTAATACGATCAGCTAGGCTGAGGTCCTCACGGACATATATTCCGGATCCAATCAGTTTACGTGAATTACTTAGAATCAGGTTCCTTTCTTCCACCGTGTTGAATGTAACCTTTAGGAGGCGGTTTTTCTGAGGACTTTCGGAATCCACCTTTTTTCCTATTCTATAAAGCTTACAAATACTAACTCCTGAAACTGTATCTGGGAGTAGTTTACTTAATGATGTCTTAATATGATTGAGATCATGTTCAAATCTTGCCTTTGGTTCAGTATCTGAAGATTCTCTTATCTTATGAAAAATGACTGATCTCTCAGAGAGATCTGTCTTTTCACGCAGTGAGGATTTTTCTTCTGATAACATCCCTTCCAATGCCTTGCTGACCAGCTGCGTTTTGCCTACAGCCTTTTTCTTCCCATTTCTTTTTCTCCTTACTGAAGTCCATTTGTCACCACTCAGAACAGCCACACCTGGACTATGTGGAACGGTGACAGTTTTATCCGGATCTTCTATTTCGACTAGAGGTGTATGACTGCCGATGTCAATGTCAAGCGACACTTCATTCCTCGTTAATGTCAACGGAGATTTCACGTTCCCGTCAACCACAGTCAGGTGTTTAACGGGTCCAGTAGCAGCACTTACTACACTGACACATTCTTTTCCGTCAGTGCTCTTGTTATCAGTGCTTCCGCCATCGTTTTTCTTGCAGACCAAAGCCAATAGGCCCATAGCACAAAAGTAATTCATTTATCGTATTCAACTTGAATATGCTTAACAGTAGAATTTTTTTTCAAAGACGAACCTTAAGATCTGAATATTTGTTTAAATCACCTAATTGGAGCAACTCTTTTGAAACGCGTAATATCACTTGGGAGTCAGAATCGATGGGTAATGCACAAGCTGCTAAAAAGGGTGATCCGGCCGATGGTAAGTGAACTTTTAATATATTTTTTTCTATTAACTAATCGTCGGTTTTTCATGCTCCATTTAATTCATACTTTTAGTGAAAGCTCTTCTGGAAGAAGCAAAGAAAGAATTTCTAGAAAAATGGGAGAAGCCTGCTCAGGTGTGTTACTTGTTGATGTCGAACTTTTTTTAGAACACGGCCACTCTGGATTCATTCGACCGAATCAAAACGTTAGGCACTGGGTCTTTCGGACGCGTGATGCTAGTCCAGCACAAAGTCAGCAAGGAATATTATGCTATGAAAATTTTAGACAAACAAAAGGTTTTTGAAGTTATTTGAGTGTTTATTTTATTTACAGGTGGTGAAGTTGAAACAAGTTGAACATACGTTAAACGAAAAGCGTATATTACAAGCTATTTCGTTTCCGTTCCTTGTCCGGTTGGATTATCATTTCAAAGTAAGTGAGCAGTTAATGCTTCAAGCTGTTGTAGTGGTAACCAAAAGTTTTAAAACTTTCATCACCGTATTTATATACTGTTTTTGATGGGACTTTCCGTTGTTTTTAAGGTGTTATTGCTGTTTAATTATAGACCAGTAGTCTATGCACTACACCCTTCATTGTATTCCCCCGCATTTATTATTCTAATGGGTTGGGGGGGCTAAAACGTATATGAATAAATATATGTCCGTATGTGCACATAATATTCTCATGTTTTGGCACTTAATAATTCACAACCGGCCTCCCATTTCTAAATCCAAGGTACATCTGGTCCAGAAACTCGTTTAAGCAACCTCAGATAATTTTCCTTTTAACCCTTTGTAAGGTCGTTAAAGTGTTTTAAGCAACCTCATTAAACTTTCGAACTGTTGAGGTGTACGCTAAAGTTGAGCGTGTATTGTGAGTTGGAAGGTGTTATGCTGAAGCTTTTATAAACATCGTGACATACTTCATGTAAATTGGGTTACTAAGATTTCTGCATATACACAATTAACAGCTTGCCTTATCACGATTAAAGTTTTCAGCTTAGAGGAAAAACCCCGAAAAATTACTTTTTCGATCTACAAGTCTTTATATGGACTTTACACATTTGTGCTAGTTCGTACTCTCACTATAGTCAAGATAATCCAATGAAACGTCTTTGTTACACAACAAATTTGTGATAATATTCAAATCTGTCCAAAGACGCTTAGTATATCATGCCAGTTCATACTGTCCGGTGGTATAGCTAACAATATAGCTTACTTTGTAGTTAGTTTTGAACAGGCGAAAACAATCAATCTTCGTGGATTTACTGTACTAACGAATAATACATCATAATATCTGAGTAGTTAACATCAGATCATGCCCATATGAGACTACTTCTACTTCATGTCAACAAAAACAAATCCTCTCTGAGGAAAATCTACCAAGCAGTTAACGAAATGCGTCTTCGAATCGTTCACCAAAATCCAAATGTCCACTTGAACCAAATGTTTTTGAAAGTGTAATATAATTTTACTGTAATTGTTGATAAAATGTGTACTTGAAAATCCAGTGCATAAACTTTAACCGAGTCACTCGGTTAAATTATAATATGCAAACGCTTCTAAAGTGCATTTGAGTAGTATACCAAGAAGATGAATTTGGTTATTTTATATAAATCCCTTCGTATTATTTGTTTCTCTTATTACTATAGGACAATAGCAATTTGTATATGGTTTTGGAATTTGTTAATGGTGGAGAAATGTTTTCCCATTTAAGACGCATCGGTCGTTTCAGGTAATTAAAAATGGATTGTAATTATGTTTTGAGTAGAAATTCATGTGTGTATACGTGTGCACAAGGGGATTATTTGTTACGCTTACATTATAGTAAATACCTATTACCAAATTAGATTATTATTATTACCATTATTATTACTATTATGACGTAAAACCATGTGTGAACTGGAAAGTTTGAACGATCGCCTTTTTCATGACAGGCGGGAGAATTTCATCAATAAAGTGTCTCAATGCATATGAATGAACAAATGCAAAGACAATCAATTTAGGGGGTTAGTGTAGATTGACTAGTTTTTATCAGATGTAGAACAAACCATTAAAACTGAGGGAGCTTGGAAGAAGTATTTTTTTTCCCAGCAGTATTCTGTTGCAAGTTATTCGGAAAGTGACTGCCTAAATCTTGAAACGATCACGATAAGCACGATCAAACCTCTGAATCAAAATCCGTCTTCTATCTTCAGCCGATTCTCTGTGGGCGTAAATATCATTCACTGGCGTTAGTGATATCTGTTTCACTCCATACATAGTTGTGCTTTACTCTTGTATTAAGCATTCCCTCGTGTCACTTATGACGTATAACCACTGATTTCTCACATTTTAAGGATTCCAGCTGGAAGTAGTACATGCTCAACAAAAAAAGTCTTTTTTGTTTCACAATTTGGTTTGACTATTCTTTGTCAGTTTATAGTTTGCTTGCTATACATATATTCATTTTTGTGGTTATCACATTTCGTTGATATTTAATTGTTTCGGTAATATAGTGTTATTGCTATTCTTTCGTACGTAAACCAACTTCAAATATTCTCCTTCATGGCCAACATTTGGTGCTATAGTATTCAATTTTTTCCGGTATTTTAAAAGCGGAAATTAGTTTAAGTAATAGATTGTGTTGAAAAACAATGTTTTTGTAATAAAAAGATTATTATACCTTTATATTAATCGAAATGAGTGATTTTACTATCAATCATCCACTTTGTTATAGGTATTTATACTCAGCTGTGAGTCATGCTGTAGGAGGGTTGGTGGTACTACCTAACTGCTCGAAGCAGACAGCGCAGGGTTTGAGCATGAAATTTCCTTATAAATTACCATGACTCCTCCCTGAATAGATTCAAAGGATCTAACATCTGACGGCTTTTACGTTTACTCCTACATGATTTAGTAGACTGTAGTCGTCTTATGTTTGATATGAACATTCAGCTCTCGGTTATTAAGTCATGCGTTCAGAGTCAACACTACTGAAATCGGTTTGAGAAATATCTATTATTTGTTAGGCTTCATAGGAAAAATTTAACGCAGATTACGGCTTAAAACAACCACCATTAATTATCCAGTTTATATCTATCTATCTATCTATCTATCTATCTATCTATCTATCTATATATATATATATATATATATATATATATATATATATATATATATATATATATATATATATATATATATATATAGGTAGAAAAACAATTCATCTAACTGCTGACTTCGTCATGGCGTGAACAGTTTTAACAGGCAAACATTCACCAATTACGTTGAAAAAGTAAACCGCCAAATATATTAGAGTTTCATAGTGTAAATGACGAGCTAGCTTTACCTAAGCCAATATAGTAGACCACAAAGCACTGAGTAGCTGCTTTAACTTAACATGCTTTCAGTAGTGACTAATTTTGAGAAGTGATTGCTTGGGTTTAATTGAGATGCGTGATTTATGGAGTTCAACTATGTCACTTGTGAGGCAGTTACCCACCAATATAATTGGGAGGTGGTTGCACAATATCGCGAATTGATTGATGTTGGAAATTTAAACCATTAAACTGCGACTATAGTTTAAATCTTAACTACTCACTATCAAGCATGAATGTCCTGGGTTTTATTTCTTATAGGGACGTGTGTGCTCACTGTTGTAGAGACCTATAGTAGGATGGAAAAATTGTCTGATACTTCTTAGTTTTTCGTGGTTGTCCAAAGTTATTTCGCGATGTAAACTGCATTATGTGCATACTTGACCATGATTTATGTTACCAATTAACTATTCACTGTTTGCTAAGTAAAATTACTTGAAGGTATGAAATTTGTAGACGATATTTTACTAACTTTTCCATTCTTTTGGTGATTATAATAGTTCTGTGAAACGTTACTTAATTTTAGTGATAGAAACATCTTATGACAGCATTCAAAATTACAATTTTTGACGGTTGAAATTATTATAACACAACAGCAAAGAAATTCAAGTTATTTTACTTTTATATTTAAGTTAAAGTGGGTTTTTAATTGAGATAAAAGATTTTCATGATTAAACCTAGACACAACGTTAAACTGTCATTTCTATGGTCTAAATGAGGTATTTGCAAACCAATACCGTCACCAAATCACCAAAATAATTAACCTGTAATCATTAGGTCTTGGGATAAATTCTTCTTCAACCCCTTTTTGAAACCGTTTTTAATCTTTAATTTAAGGCGTGAATTGAGAAGTAACTCTTTTACTGTGTGGACTTTTGGCACTCAGTTTTGGGACTTCTTTTCATGTAAAGGCTAGCGATACTCAGGTGTCCAAACAAAGTAGGTGGAGCGAGACTAGAACTTGCGACCAAGTGATTAGAAGTTGAATAATTTACCCACTATGCCATCACTCTACAAATAAAGGTGAACTGAATTTCGTCGTCGGTGACTTGTTTTTTTTTAAAATCTCTTTTACCGTAACACACTGTATTACCTCGAATTATTACTAACTTTATTTTAACCACCGTTTTTGTTTTAACCATCATTGTCAGGATCATTTCTACTTTAAATGTACCCTCGATTTGATAACTTTCAGTTGACTAGTCGATTTTATGTCTTTGCATAGCTTTGATTTTGTTTAGAATCAGGCATTGAATAAAGTTAGTAGTTTGCATTGTTTATAAGACTGTAACCAACGTTGTTGTTTTCACTGTGAATAGTATTTTTACTATTTATTTATTTAAACACAAACATTAGTACAAGAAGGCACCAAAAAGGTATGCGCCACATAAATCATTCGATTTATGTGAGGGCTGGGATACTGTCTTGGTGCCAGAACCGAAACAGGTTGTTTTCTTAGGGGGTCACACCCGGAGTCTTCGACCTAAAGGTTTGATCCACAAGGGAGTGGAGCAACGTCAGGAGATGAGGTCCTCTAGTAGCCGGTGATCCATAATTGGCTCATACGCCATTTGTTCCTTCAGGATACCGGGGCCCGTGATCAGTCTCTTATTGGGACATGTGCATCTTGTGCGCGTTGACTTAATGTTACCTAAAGTCACAAGCATAGTCAGAAAAGATGGAAGGTGACTAGCAGTGGAATCCAGGACGTACGTTTCGTTCTATTTCGGGACGTACATGCATCTCGAAGTTGATGTTCACTCCGGAACTCCAACCTAGTACCGTTCACTTTAAACGCCGGTACATCCAGGTGACGAGTCCCGAACGGGACGAAACGCGCATCCTGAATCCTACTGCTAGCCACCATCCATCTTTGCTTATAGTGTATGATCAGTTTACAAATGTTTTCGAAAAATTTTAAAGGTGAGAATTATTGAGGCAAGTAACAATTTTTGTGAAGTAGTGAATATGGGTAGTCTACATTACTGAACTCATGTTTCGCTAAATGCAGTTTTAGAGATAGTAGGCGTACACTATAAAAACCATAGTTCGATCAGTAGATGGGATGGTATTATATTTGGAAAGTTCTGTTTATTTCTCTAAAAAGTAGACATTAATATTAATTAGTCTAATTAACCTTTAAAAGCCAGCTGTTGGAAATAGATATGAACATCTAACTTTCGACCAATCTAGCTAAATTAAAATACGATTTTGTACTATAAGTTCTATTGACTATATGAACCTAGTTTAGTATTTATGGATGGGAATACGGCGAATATGTTAGTTAAAAGGATGAATCCTTTCCTCATACAATCTTCCCTTTTATCTCCATTTATCAAATTTTCCGTGGTGTGTAGTTTTTATGTACCGGTTGTACATGATGCGTTAGAAAACTGCCTTGAACAATTGCATCACTAGATACAACTTGATATTTAGCTATATCCATTTATCAGTTATCATCTAAAACATAAACATTTGATTACTCTCTTCATTTAGTATATTTTCTTTCTTTAATTAGTTCTAGCAATTTCACTTCGTCTAGTGAATATGTGGAACACTGATTATATTCTAGTTTTTATCTATTGGTTTAATAAAATTTATATTTGAGCATCAAGTAAACTGAACTCTGTTAATATTAAGGAGTTATTTCACAATTGTTGAAGTTCTATCTAACGGCATTTATTTTTTGGCACACTATTATCAAATACATAGAATTTATATTATCAGAAAGGATATGGATTATTTTATGGCTATCTAAGAAGTTTTTGATATGTGCATACCGTGATATAGCCATTTTGTCATAATTTTTATAAAATCATTGAATTATGGTTGGCAGTGGGATGCAAGGCTAACGTTTCGTCCTACTTGGAACTCATCAATCGTATCAAATTCATTTGATGACATCAACGACAGAATAATCCAAAGCCTTTTTAATATTTGATAAACACCATATACATCGGATAAGTTAGTGGATACATGAACTCACTGGCTAAGTGAATAATGCGTTGAAAATTTGAAGCGCGAAGTACTAGGTTCTAATTTCAATGTGAATGTCAAAATTGGTCTACAGGTACATTCATTCGGTGAGTCCCAAATAAAACGAAACAGGCGCTCTGGATTCCACTGCTAGGAACAATTTATCTATTTCATACAGAGTTTATTTGCTCTCAAAAATTAATTGTTCTCTTTGTTCGTTCGATCTCATTCACTTACTCACTCGCTCAATCAATGAATCAGTTACACATTTTCACGCAACATAGAAGAAAACAATAATCATTGAGCCTATCTATTTTTATTTATTGAGCCTTCACATAATATTGTTTATATCTTATTCCTAAGCAATAAAATTTATTAAATACATTCAATATATTATTCA